CACAATTTTATAAATGCAGCTTCTTTTTTGGCAGATAAAAACCCATTATGCCAAAAGCTGTCACTTTTTTCTTCTTTTCAGTATCTTTTTCATTTCTAAGATGAAGCAAAATCTGAAAGCTAATGTGTACTGTTATATACTTTAGTTCTCTTTCCTTTTGCATATGTTCTATTGAACGTTGATTTGATCAAACTGTGTTCAGTATTCGGATCACTCTGTTTCCATCAAAGCTTGTGCTGGTATGAATGGTATGAAGCTGGGAGGGGAAGTACTTACAGTTGTTCAGGCAATGCCTGATGCATCATCACCTTTGGTAACCTCATCATCTAGTGATCCCTATAGTCTCACTCTAATTCTTGGATACGATTCCTTGGTTTGTTTGAAGTATAACCACATTTTTACATAAAATAAAAATACTCCAGGAAAATGCTGGTGAACCGTCTTATGGGATTCCAGAACATGCAAAACCACTGCTCAGAAAGCCTACACCAGTACTAGAGATTAAAAATGTGGTACAAATTCCTTTACTTAACTTTTATGAGGTTATTATGTTTTCATTCAATTTCAGTTGGGTTTTTTCCATTCCTATTTTTTTAAGTGTATCTGTTAGCTGTAAAAGATAAAGTAATTCTGGTCAGAAAGGATTATTTTGAATGGTGTGAATTTAATTTTTAAAATGCTTGTAGTATTAAAATTTAAACTGCACTATGTAATGTTTTTGTTTGGTCATCTATCCAGAAGGTCTATGTTAGAAGGAAGGGAGAGGGGGCGGGCGGCAAGGGATTTATACTAGGGAACAGTTGTTACTATTGACCAAAGTTCTTACAGAATTGATGATTAGTCAGTTGAGAGATAATAATTGAATGGGAGGAAATAAGTAACAGAGAAGAGGGGTTAAGGGTCTGTTATTGTGTTACAAGATTGGGTAGGAGACGGAAGGCTCTGTGTGTAATAAAGCTGTTACTTTTCATATTTGAATCTAAATCATCCTGATTCAAAGCCAAGTTGAGAGAGCAATTCACCAAAAAAGATTCCTAATTCTGTCTATAGCTTGTGGTCCGTGGCTGATCCGTTTCCCACCAATCTTTTTTCATATGAAAGGGAGCTCTGGACTGAGTACAAATATTTGTTAGGGTCTCGCTCGCTTTGGGTCAAATACATGTTTCTCCTTTTAGTTATATTTCTAGTTACATTACACATCGTTATGATTACTTTTGGTTTATGTTTGTGTTATATGTATAGTTCGCAGCGGAGTCTATTTCGTCTCTATCTGACATGACAATTGAAGAAATTTTAGATGATGTACGATTTGAATGTGCAAGGTCATAACCCTGTATTTGCTTTTGATCTGGAATTATTCTTATTTTAAAAGTTTATAAAGTATAAACACTTATTGTTCGAAATCCCTTTTATCTTGCAGATTTGGGACTATTAAATCAATTAATGTAGTCAGGCATAGCAGTGAAAAGGATTTAGCAACCAAATTAGAAGAATGTGAAGTCATAAATGAAGTGGAATCTAAAGTTTTTCAAGACACCAACTCTGTTAGTACAAAATCTAGTTTTTCAGACAGGGCTACTGACCCCAAATCTTTAGCAACAAATTGGGTTAAATTTGATGATGCGAAAGAATTGGAAGAATATAAAGTTGATGGTGGTACCGGTGTTAATACTGATAAAAATGCTGAAGTTTTTGATGATGAATCATGTCAAGAACAACTTGTGAATGATACAGCAGTTGAAAATGTCGGCGGTAAGAGCATACCTTCTAGTATCATACAAGAATATCCTGATCAACAGGATACATCCGATGACGTACCCAAATTGGATGATGAAATGGTTGCTAACGATACAGGTGTGGATGTTGAAAATAAGATTGTGGGGGAAAACACGGATTCAAAAGGCACGGTTTCTGCAGTTCAGGAAGGCTTTTCTGAACGTGTTACTCGTTTCGAATTAGTTGGTCCCCAAAAGGTAACTGATACGGAAGATGATAATGATCATGTATTTGAACCGGGTTCTGTTCTTGTTGAGTATAGAAGAGCCGAAGCATGTTGTTCAGCAGCACATTCTTTGCATGGACGACTGTTTGATGGCAGAATGGTGACAGTGGAGTATGTTGCTGAGAGACTATACAGAGCAAGATTCACAAAATGAGCACTTCTAAGCGAACGGTAACTCTTGGTTATATGATGAAACATAATATTGTCTTTGCATGATTGTGGAAGAACGGATTAATTGAACTGATCGGTTATGCCATCCTGCTTCCTGCTGTTAAATGTGCAAACAGTTTTTAAATTTCTGATTTACCCTGCTGATGCTTAACTGAGCAATGTGGATTTGAGGAAAATGCAGTTTAGTATACATCAAGTCTGTAGCTGCAGACCATCTGATAAAGATTTGTTTTTCAAACGAGACATGATGAAAATTATCATTTCGTGCCAAATGTTTTAGATGCTGTTAGCCTTGGAGATGGTGATGTCATGGTTTTTGGCAATATTTTGTGTACATGGTTAATGTTGCGTTACAAACTGATTGTTGTATCGTAGTTATTTTAGATGTTGGTCACAGGGCCATACTTTTTTTTTGTGTTGTTTCTTTCACATATTAACCTTCTGTCACCGTAACAAAATACAAACTTTCACTAACTATTTACTTGACAATTACGGTACACAGAATCTTGGAAGATATCTCTTGCGAGTGACATGCTTACAGATAGATTGATGCACACTGTTGTAAGTTAGAAGATTCCATTGATAGAAATAACCGCTTATATTTTTAATTCATGGAAGATAGTATTTTAAATGATGCAACACATGGTACAGGGTTGATAGTTTATCAAAATTTCATAACTGAATAGTTTAAAACAGTGATTAGACACTATAAACTTGTAGGATGATCCACATAGCGAAACATCTGTTAGATTCACATCTACAAAGTCGCTAAGTTATGGAAAATTCATGACAAGAAAAGAAAAGATAGTTCCTAATAGGGCAAAGTCATGTTTCTGACAAACTTCTTCGTTAAGAGTCACGATTGCTCCACCAAAAGGAAGTGGAAAAAGTATATGCATATCTTTTCTTTTATTGATTGATATTTATTAGAAAATTCAAAATTTGGCGGAATGTGTTGAGAAATATATTTAGTATTCTTACTTTTAAGTAACTATTACCAAATGCTTTACTTCAATGTGTCAACACTAATCCTTTAGTGGGATCTTAGTGTATCACAAGCTTTGCATCTATGTGTATTTTAATTTCAAATTTGCTGGTAGTTTTCATGACATAAGCCAATTTGACATTGTTGAATAGCTTTCAAATTCATGGATTGTTAGTTAATGCTTAGAAATGATGTATGGAGCAGAAGTTGGAGTTAGGTTCAGAAAATGTTATATTTTAATAATTCAGCAAATAAGAATTGGCCAAAGATCTTTATGGTACACTTTCTTACTATTTTTTAGAACCCTCCTTTTATTTTATTAATTACTATGGCGTGTTTTTGGCCATTTTGGTTTGGCGAAATGGTAATGTCTCTGTCACTATTCTATTTTATTTCATACAAATTCCACTCAAAAGATTGAATAAGGCATGACATTTGCTTATTAGTCTTGAAAGCATTAAAATGTTTTTCAAAGTTCCCCACTCAAATGAGTTCTGTTCAATAAATTATGCTTTCTGCAACTTGATTGATTCCACCTAGAATCCAGAGAACCTTCTCAATAATGATGTCTTTAGTGATAACATATATTTATGGTTCTGTAGCCAAAGAGAAAAGACATCTTATGCACTACATTTTTAGTTTGAATTTCTTAAAACAGAAAAAATTGCGCATCTGCTGAGGTACATAGAAAGACTAGAACTTGATACACAATGGAGTTAGCAATATAGAAATAAATATATTATCTATAAGTAATAATATTTATGAAAAAGTTCAATTAAAAACAAATGATAGCATTTATGGTGTAGAATACTCGTTAAAATAACATAGTGACATCTCTTTTAAAACGATTAGTTTTTTTTAAAACTTTTTTCATTTAAATAATATTTTTCTTAAATAATGAAGAGGGCACAAATATATATATATATATATATATATATATATATATATATCACTTCATTTTTTCTTTTTGAACTATTCAAGTATAGCTTACCTTCAATGTTGATACATCCATTATCTTTTAAACATGTGATCAGAGTTTGATTTCTCACTAGTGTTTTGACTTGTAGATGAAAGATATATTGGTTTGTCTAAAATTGTGATGCGCAATATTTGACGACAATAATTAGCATTGAAAAAACCTTTTAGCGTTGGTAAAGTTATGAAGAATTTAAATAAATTTATATTAAACTTTATGATATAATATTTTTTTCCTTAATTTTTTTGGTCTATTTTCTTTCTCTGTAATTTTGGAATACATCAATCTAATGAGACAATACAAAAGAGAAATTAAAAAATAAGAGAAAAAGTAAAAGGCCCAAATGGATTTTCAACACTAAAACAATGTTTCTAAGAGGTACTTTCATGCTTATTCTAATAATGTATAGGGTAAAATACATAAACATTGATTGTGATACCTTGAAATTGTTTCCTTTTCAACATATTATGGAGACTACTTCACCCTATTCATTCTAATAACTGAGAAGAAAATTAATGTAGATTGTATCAATTATCTTTTTTTGAACCCTTAATTGTTATTTCTTAACTATATAGTGTCGTACTCTAACTATATGTTATTACAAGTCTTTCATTACAATAATAGATAGTAAAATTCAATTTAAATTTGTTTGAGAAAACGATAATCATGATTGGGTTTATGTCAAAAGATACATCGTGACTAAATTTTGGTTGACACTTGTGAATAAAGAAATACAGACGTGTGATAAATTATGGTGACTTCAAAACGTCAGAAGAAAAGGATGAAAGTATGAGAAAAAACACAAAAATGAAATTTATATTGTTATTCAGTCACAAATGATCAAATATATATTACTTTTTTCTATCACAATATTGATTGGAGATTAAAAATTATGTAAAAATATTATTTAAAAATGTACAGCGAAATACACTTCAAAATTATTTTTATTTCTAAAATGAATATACATACAATATTGTCTACAGTGGCCAGTCTTGTGCCAATAGAAACATCAAGTCCCACCAACAGAAGACGATATCAGTTACGAGACAGAACTCCTTTCGAACTGCACAAAGAAAATGATGGATAGATAACAATAACATTCAAGGAAATTCCCATAGTTTTCATACACACATAGTAAATGTAAATGCAAAGCATGTATATAAACAAACAAAATTGATTAGTATATCATTTCTTATGAGAAAAAATGTCAAAATATAAACGGTTTTCAAACTAGCAGCCACCAATACACTTGCTCTAATCCTAAATTTTATTGCAAAAATGCTAAAAAAAGCATTTGGTATATTTGGCCTAAAATACACTCGCTTAATATCTGTCACTTTAGTTATTAATCCATCCTACAACACAAGAAAATATGGCAGATAGTGCATTTAACTAAGGATATGAGACTTAGAAACTGTAAAACATCAAGAGACTAAGAACAAAATTGAGAACAAAAAGGAGTAGCGAAAAAATAAATAAATAAAGGCTTTGCCATTGGTAATATACATACCTTGGTACGGTTCCACGGCGACGTGGATCATACTCTGTTGCTTGTCGAAGAGCCCTAGCAAAAGCTTTAAAGGTTGCCTCGATAATATGATGGGAATTTTTTCCAGCAAGCTGGGTAAGAGGAATGCATATACATGTTCATTCTGTTACAAGGTTTTCATAATAGGAATAGAAAAACATCAACTAGAAACATCAAAAAGCCCTGGTAAAACATCAATAACATTCAGTATATTTCTTTCATAGTGATATATGTACAAATATATTTGCTAATTTATGACTATAATTGATTATAACCTATGTATTAATACCTGTCGAATGTGAAGTGTCATACCAGACGTGTTCACCAATGATTGGAAGAAATGCTCCACCAACTATAAATAAGGATACCCAGTGGATTCATTAGTAAATAATAAGATTCATATAAAAATAACTATGGAAACATCATAAGCTCAATAGATAAAATTCCAAACTTCAATGAAGTAACTTAACATGTTACACTACCTGAGTATCGTATGTTCCAACCCTATGAGTGGGTATGTCCAAATTATAACCTAGATATGGTCGACCAGACAAATCCTGGAAAAGTGTGCAAGAAACACATGATGGGGGAATTGAGAAGAAATGAGAGAAAATGAACAAAAAGTGAGAGATTTATCCTCTAAGAGTTTCTCCTTAAAACTTATCTATTGTTCTATTTACCCAATTGTAAAAAAATTAGATTACAATTCCTTCTTCTCCTACCTAGCTAAAAATCTGTCCCTCTATCTACTATAATTAACTATGATGTGATGCTCTAATATAACTAACTGTTTGACATAGGGGAATCTGAGGTAAAAGATATCCTAAAGTAATCAAGTAAACAACATATTTATTTATAGTGGAAAAGTAAGCTTATAAAAGTGATCAGATTGGACACTAGAACTTCCTAATTTCAACTCCGAAGCATTGAGTACAAGTCTTATAGAGCTGATAATGAATGAGTCTAAACAAAAGCTCAGTCAGTAGTGTGATACTTCGATATCTGAAAAGTAAACAAACTTTAACCCAGTGTTTGGATGATGAATTCTAAAAAGGTAATTCACTTTTTTTTTTTTTTGAGAATTTGAATTGTTTTTGGTAAAATATGTTTTTCGATAGAGAATATAGAAAAAAAAATGAAATTATAGAAACTTATCAGAAAAATTTGATTACTTAAAATGGTAAGAATATAAAAAAAATATGAATTTAAAATTTTTCATGTTCCCTCTTCTCTTGCCTTTATGTCTCCTCTCTGCTCTCCCATGTCTCTTTGTTCTCTCTTCCCCTCTTTTCAGTTTTATTTTTCTCTCCCTCTCTTCATTACCTCCTTTCTCTCTCTTCCATCTACCTTCTCTATAACAATATTGATAAAAAAGGTGTCAATATCTGTATTTTTGAATTATTAATATTATTTTATTTTATATTATTTTTTAATCATACAATATTTAAATTAGCTCATGCTTATTTTCATAATATTTAATAGTAAAATTTCAATTTTTAAATATATTTTTTATTTTGTACATATAGTAGAAATTAAATTACTCTGTCTAAATTAAGAATTTGAATAGATCTCCAAAAGAACCATTTAAAAGATGAGGAAAATTTAAATCAAAGTAATTCAAATTTAAAACATTTCAATTTTTTTGAAATTTTAGGGATCCTCATCCAAACACAACCTGGAGATAAATTGAATTTCTTTATGCACATTACAAATATGAATCCCTAAAATTATGAAGGCTAACACATAACAAGTCCTAACATTTTCTTAAGTGCGTTTATCCATTTACCATGCTTATAAGCAAGGAAAGATTACACTTTCCCCCAACACACATGTTAATATTATCTAACAATTAATCACTATTTCTACAAACAGTACCCAAATTACCAGTGAAACATGAATCAGTGCTTCATCAAGTGGAGCAGAGAAGTTGCCAAACCGGTTAATACCCTTCCTATCACCAAGAGCCTGCAGCAAAGCCTGAAGACGTAGTAACAGAAAACTCTTAGTTTTAACATAAAGACTTACGTTGAAATCACCAGTAATTACTTCAATGCCATATTGCATAGAAAGGAAAATGTGAAATATTAAATTATATAAAGATATAACTTGCACACAAATCTTTAATGCAGGATACTGAAACACGTTTTAGTTTCAAGGAAAATTTGTAATTTGTATTATAGAAAACAAAAAAACAAATGAAAGAACCAGCTCATGAAATGGTTTGCATACTGTTCCGATAGCAAGGGCAACGTCTTCATTTGTGTGATGATCATCAATGTGTATATCACCTGTGGCTTTTACGTGTACATCAAACAGCCCGTGTGAAGCCAGTTGCTGAAAAATCACAATCAAGTTTAGTTTCCATAACTATTATCTCAATTAAATAATTTCAACATCCTTAGTACGCCTTTAATGTTTAGTCTTCAAGGTACAAGACCAGATTCTAACAATGCAAGTCCTTCTAAGGAGATACATTCTTTTATAAACAAGTTCAAAGTTCATCTCACATACACCAAAGTTTTTACCTCTTTCATTTCACATTGCCAAGCTCATTATTCTATTATAGCTACAAATTTGGTAGAACAATATGCATTCTCATTTGGGATGTCTTTGACTAAGCTAATATCAAGTATATAGAAGAGTATTCACTAAATAATTCTTTAACTAATTACTTTAGCTCCCACAACACTTATTTTGTGTACACGGATATATCCACTTATATGAACAATTATTGAAATCTAATATTATATTTTAAGGCGACAGCAATAAAGGAATATAAAAAGTAAAGGAAGCAAAAAGAACATATGAAAAACAAAAACATAAGGCATCAGCAACACAAAGGCACAAAAAATGAGTTGAAATTACTAACATCAAGCATGTGATCGAGGAAGGGAATTCCAGTATTACTATCAGCAACCCCGGAACCATCCAAGTTTATTTTGACTGATACGTTGGTCTCCTTGGTGACTCTTTTAACCTCTCCAACTCTAGGATCTGAAAATGATCGAAAAATCATTCAAACGCATTGGAAAATCCAAAATTTCAGGCAGTGAAGAACAGATGATGAGCTTCGCATTGACCTGAATCAATTGGCAAAGTCGTCATAGCTGAAGCATTGTCTCCCACCACGACAGCAGAAGAGACGTTTCTGGGAAGGTGGATTGGAGTGAGATTGCGTTGATTGGGTAAAAAGATTGAAGCTTGGAAAGGAGAACGCGTGAGGTTGGGTATTGAGTGGAAAACCCTAACCCTAGATTTGAGAAGAAGGGATGAAGGAGATGTTGGAAGAGAGGGAGGTGAAGATAGCTCCATTGAGAGTAAAACAACAATGGCAGCACAGCGAAGATCTTCTTCTAGGGCGATTTTGGTCCACAAAAATACTTGTGCCAAAAAGAAACTGACAATTGCTTTTTGCACCCAACATTTTCCTGGAGGTGTTATAAAGTCTAAATATTGTATATTTTGCATCAAACAGTCTTAAATATATTTTTTTATTCGAAATATATTTTAGATTTCTAATTTATTATGTAAATACATTTTGACACTGTCTAATTTGAAAAAAATATGAAAAATTATATAATATAAAATGTATTTTTGAAATATCTAATTATGTAATCAGGATTACATTGTTTCGGATTTATACACAAATTAGACTTTTCCCATATATTTGGAGTTGCCGAAGAAGGTGTGTAGTTGTTAAAAAAAGGGTGTTGCTCCCTCCACCCCCACACATCTCTTCCTCCACCTCCCCTTTACTATTTTACCCCTTCCTCCACCTTTCCTTTACTATTTTACCCCTCAGTAAAATTTTATTTTTAAAATTGTTGTTTTTTAATTTTATTCATTTATAACATATTTCACTGATAACCTACGTAGTTTCTTGTATGAGTAAAATATTTTTCTACAAAGCTTGGTGATCGTGAAAAGAATTATCAAACAATCTTCTTCTTGTTCTCGGTGCAGTACGTGGTGCAGTGCGTTTATGGTGTAGTGTCCTTGTCGTGGTTCCTCTCCAGGTACGTAGTCATAATCCTTCCAATAATCCTAAACCCTAAATCCTTCCCATACTTCCAATAATCCTTTTAATATCCAAGCCTATAATCCTTGCATGAGCCGCAAAACGTAGTAAAATAAAAACGAAACGTAAAAGGAACACTGCCTATGGACGGATGACATCCTTCAACGGATGTCAACATCCGTTTAAGGCAAAACGGATGTCGACATCCGTTTAAGGCAAAACGGATGTCGACATCCGTTTTGCCTTCAACGGATGTTGACATCCGTTGAAGGATGTCATCCGTCCAGAGGCAGTGTTCCTTTTACGTTTCGTTTTTATTTTATTTGTTTATTTTATTTACAGTAATTTATATTTAAATTTATAATTTTAAATGTTATATATGGTTAGTTTTTAAACGTAATAATTTTGTTAAAATATGAATTTGTTAAAATATGAATTTGTTATAGGTGGAGAAGAAGCTTAACGGAAGAGAGAAAGGTAAACGAAAATGGAAGAGAGGAAGAGGTGCAGAGGGAAGTAAATCAGAAGTTTTAAATAAATTAAAATATTAAAATAATAAAAATAAAAAATTTTAACTTTTGAGGATATAATTGTCATTTTAGAAGGATATAATTGGCATTTTAGAAAATTGGGGAGGTGGAAGAAGAGACGTGTGGGGGTGGAGGGAGTAACACCCTTAAAAAAATTCCTGAAGAAAGTTAGGCGTGAATGTTGGGCTTACCCAACACATGTTCAGAGTTTCTTCTTGCACCCCATATGGTTTTTCCATTGACTAAAATACCCTTATGCCTTATTTAATAAAAATATGGTTTAATCATTTTGATAGTCCATTGAGTTTTCTCAAATAGATTCCTCTCTTTTTTTATCTCCATGGGATCCCTAAAAGTGAAAAACCAGTGCAATTAGGTCTTTCCTGTTAAATTGGATTAATGAGATTAAAGTTTGGTTGATACATTAAGCAATTAAATAATAGGGTTTTTGATAAAAATTGAAATTAGGAATGAGGAAATTAGGGTTCATCGTATTGTTGTTTTAGGATTTTTGATAAAAATTGAAATTGAAAATCACGATTATTGCTACGACGAAGAAGGCGCGATTTCTACTATGACAAAAATTAGGGTTTCGCATTTTGGAGGCTGGCGGGTTGCTGTTTTGGTGGCTGGCGGGTTGCTGCAATAGTGATGGCCATGAAGGAGCTCAATCTGTGTTTTAGTTTTCTGCGATTTGGGATTAGGGATTTCTGTGCGATTTAGAGTTCATGATTTTTTTGGTTGCAGGTTACATGGAGTTTGCGATTTGGGAAAATAAGATGCAGGTTGTTCATGGCTTGTTTGAGTTTGCTGCAGGTTTTCGACTATCCCCTTCAGTTGACGCATTCCTAGTCCGTGAATGATCCTTGTGGGGATTGAAGTTTCGTTGTGTGTGCTACGAGGAAGATTGTTAATGTGAATTTGGCGAAGCAGACTTTGATAGAAACAATTTCACCTACATTTGCCAATTTAACTGATTTGAGAAACATGTATCTCAACGACAATCATTTGTGGGATCAATATCGGGAGGCTTGACTAATTTGGCTTAGTTGAGGTTATGGATGTGTCTAATAACAATCTATCAGGTGATGTCCCAAAGTTCCCACCCAAAGTGAAGTTCAATAATGCAGGTAATCCTCTACTTGGGCATTCTAGAGGTGGCAGCGGCAATGGAGCTACTCCGTCAAGCGGTTTTGGTGATGCACCAAGTGGATGTCTAAATGCAACTAGCATCAGGCAATTCTACACTCTCTCTTTCGTAATTTATTGAGTTTCCAATCTCGTTTCCAATTTGCTTTTAATTGACGTTTTATTTCACATTTCAAAAACTTTTTTTTATTTTTTAATTACAAATTTTTCATCTAAGAGACTTTGCATATGCTACGTAATCTAATTATTCTAGCTCACATTGACAATTCACCTTAAATTTAACTATGGTAACCTAATTTAATAACAGGAACTCAGTTGCTTCAATTTTTCATTTTAAGGATTTAATTGAAAAAAAAAACTAATTAAAAAAATCCAACATAGAAACTACGAGAATGATTAAATCTAAAAGTATTTACTTCGTTCATGTATAATGGTGAAAAGTGATAATTACTTGAAAAAAGAAAATTGATCAAAGTGATAAAGAAAAATAGGATTTTTCGACTTTTTGAAGCAATCCATAAAGAACATCTTAAAGAAGGTATCAGACAAAATTGGCTGAGTTAAATTGAAGATTCTCTATAAACGTTCTATGGTTGAAGAAAATATAGAAGACAGGGCAAAACATGATAAAGACGTGGACTATTATTAAAAAAAGGGTTAAATATGTTTTTGGTCCCTTAACTTTCAGCGAAAATTGGAATTAGTCCCTCTTCAAAACTTTGGACTAATTTAGTTCCCAAACTCTAAAAATGTGTGAATTTAGTCCTTTTAACCAAATTTTGTTAACTTTATTTGATGTTTCAAGTGCGTTTCATGATAGCATTTGAGTTGTTTACACTGTTTGACACATTTTTGCTTCAACGTTCACTGATAAATGCGTTTGAAACATCAAATAAAGTTAACAAAATTTGGTTAAAAGGACTAAATTCACACATTTTTATAGTTTGGGTACTAAATTAGTCCAAAGTTTTGAAGAGGGACTAATTTCAATTTTCGCTGAAAGTTAAGGGACCAAAAACATATTTAACCCTTAAAAAAATTACTAGAAAAGAGAATTTTAGCTTAACTTTTTTTTTTTATTTTTCATTCTAACTTTATCTTCTTTTTTCTTTCTTTTACTAATATTTTTCTTTCTCCCGTTCTCAAAAATCTAAATTTACGTTTTCCGTTGATTAATGTTTAAATCATTTTATTGCTTTCAAAATTACTCTTTAATTGGTTTTTCTTTTAATTTCGAAGTTGATTTATGTTAAATGGTAATTTGTTAGGAATGTATAATTAAAAATTTATAACGTGAAGTTTTCGTGTATTTACTATCAAAGGAAATTAATGGTTATAGAAGTGAAGTTTCATCCTTTAAATAACATTACAAAGTGTAATTAATTATTTTTTATAACATTGTTTGTTTTTATTTGTCATTTATAACGGCATCTTTCCAACTATGAAAATTTTGTGGCTATACAGTTAATCTTAATTTTGTTTTCTTTCATCCCTTATTCCCTAATAATATGTTTAAATAAATTGGGGTGGAGGGGAGAGCGAAATAAATTGAAAATTAAGATTATATATGAATTAAGAAAAAAAAATAAACTTAATAAAGATAATAGAGAAATAATTGAAAAAGTTAATTTGATTGATATGTTACAAGTTAAATTAGTTATGCAATAAAATAAATGACTAAAATATCTTCAATTAATATTTACTAAGATGAATATATATTAAAATTGAAACATAATTTAATAGGGAATAATCATTCGATAAAATTGGAAATAGCAATTAAAAATATTTAAAAACTAAATTTAATATTAATTAATAAAATATTTTTAATATACAAATTTAGTTTTTAACTTGTTGATACTGATATAACAAATCAAACTCCTATTATCATTATTATTTTTCTATTATAATAAATACATTTCCTTATAAAAAAAAGTAACAAAACAAAATAAGTAGGAAGATATAGTTAATAGAACGTCGTCTTTAATATGTTAATTTTTTTAGTTGTTGAAATTTGTAAAAATTACAATTTAAGGCAATATACAGCATAAGATACTAATATATAATAACATTTATTAATGAGATAAAAACACTAATCATATGATTGTCAAAATATTATTTATTGTCATATGTAATTAAAAAAAATACTATATCAAAGAAAAATAAAATAAAATAAATCAGTTAAAATTCTATAAAAAAGAATTATATATGCAATCAAAATAATTTACATTTATTAGAATTTTTTTTTCTTTACAATATATGATAATTTTCTTCCTATAGTGAAAAATGTAATACCTACAATAATTGTCTTTATCTTGTTTTGAACATCAAAAAATCAAAAATAGAAAACATTATTATAATTGATATGAACCACATCAATTGATATTGAAATAAATAATTATAATTTATCTTAATTAGTGTTGTCAGACCTTGGAAAATTAACCCAAACCCCACCTGTTAAATCTCATTTATTACACCCTAAACCCTGCTCAGGTGCATTAAAAACGCACTTCCAAACTCTGCACGCTGACGCCAGGTGTCAAGAATGTAAGGTTCGAAAATCAGTAGTGGAAGACAGGTGTCCGTATGAGAGGGTGTGACCGTTTGACCTTGGGAAGAAAACTGATTTTTTCTGAAACACTTATTCCCACTCTCTGCACGAACCCTTCTTCCTCCTGAAAACTTATCT